CTGACAGATTTATTACAGAGGGAGTGTTGGTGATGAGGCACAGCAACTTTGTGCTCACTTTTTAAAAATGAACTAAACACAAAGAGAACTGCTAAACTGAATTATTTTATCATGTTTATACAACTGATATGAGGGAGACGCCTGTGAGTTGGACTTTAGTATCAACCCAGCTGAGTTTGGCTCCATGGCTCTTTTGGTCGCATGCTGCTCACTTCATTTCTGAAAACTTGCTTCAGGCTGATACATGGCTCCGTCAGACATTTTTGAACAAAGAGGCAGCATTAAGACACATTGGTCTGTGAGGCCATTTTGATAAAAGAGCTTTGGAATACTGAAAACAAACTAAACATGGTCTCCAATTATTTTTCTAATCTTCCTTCTATTAAAACTGTTCAGACACTGAGTTTGTATCTGAATACTTGGTATGTTTGATTTTCTCTCTTAATTTTCTCTTTCAGCAGCTAATTGGAAAAAAAAAACATGAAAGTCAAATTTTATTTTATTTATTTATTTTAATTCTGTTGGTAGTATTAGGTCTTCTTACCTTGTAGTTGTTCGTTTGCTGGACCCAAAGTGAAGATTTACAGGTGGGACTAAGAAAAACATTTTTTAATAAACAAAAGCTGACAAGGCAGCACAAATAAACTATATATACTAAGTGGGTGCACAGGAAGCCAGATACATAACAAATTAAGACCCTGCAACACTTAAAGGAACACATATGACACACCACATTTCATGCTATAATATTACACTCAGATCATTTTAAGGCGAGCATTTAAAAAATCACTTTGTTAGCTGTTAAATACATTTTGTGTGTACTTGGAGTCTCTTGACGTGCAGAAAACTTTAGTTTAGTCTCTCCCAGTGCTGCGTAGATAACAATATTCTGTTAGGATCATATTTTGTAACCTGTACAATTTTCTCTATTTTCAGAACTAGTGCTGTACCAAACGATTATTTTCTAATCGATTAATCTAACGATTACTTTTTTCGATTAATCGATTATTCTAACAACAAATCTAAAAGTTATTCTGATGTGAGTGCACTGGATATTTAAAATGTTTTCATCAAATTAACAAGAACAGTTCTTTAATAT